TATATATATATATATATAGTCAGATATAAGACAGATGCTTAGGCGGGGCCCACTTTAGGGGATGGAAGTTGGATTCCGCCACGTTTCTAAACAATCATAGCCACGGTTGGAGCATGTTGATTCGAACATCAATTACTGTTGGCCACCCTTAGTTTTGAGTACAGTACTGAGTGGAGCATGCGTTATGTTGAATTATTAATCTCATTATTAGTGTGTATTTGGTTGGGTTTGTTATGATGTGGAGCTTGAATGTGCTAAAACAACCCACACTCGAGAAACAAAGGTCAACACGCCAACGATATTATCACTAGATTCATCCAACAACAATGCTAGCCATCCCATAAAAAATCTGCTTAGCTATCCAACTTGCAGCGCTAGTGTGCATTTCAAACTTTGGAGGTTAGATTCCCTCCTAACTTGCAATAAAATCTGTGGTGGATAACGTACGAATCACCCAGTAATAAATCTTGACGGTTACCCTCATGAAGCCCCAGATAAGTCTGGATGGTTATCCCTATTGAGACACTTGATTTATCCCTAACAAGAATTAGCTTGCTAAATGGGAGAATCCCCAGTGAAAGTCGTCTCGTCAGTACTCGTGAAAGCACTCCTATGGTTAGATCATCCTGGTCATATAATCATATCTTGTTCTTGACTGTTTTGGTTGGTTTCATTTTGTTGAAGTACTTTGATGCCCGACTATGTGTTGATGTTTGATAGGGTTACTTTGATCAGTCGAGATCGATACCCTTCGAGAGAAGCATTTCTCCTTGCTGGATCGCTTCATTCGTCCAACATTTATCGACTACCTTGGTGGGTTTTGTCTGTCATGTCGAGTAACATACTGCATCGATTTGACCACCGATCCATGTTTTTCAGATTACTTGGATGTCCGACCCTACTTTGAGGATATTACCTCAGGTTATTTAGTCGTACGATCGCTCATCTTATGCTTGGTCAGGATACAAACCTTTTGTACCATTTGTGTATAAGCATGATACCTACCTCCTATCTTATTTGATAGTTTCGACTGCTTTGATTGGTTTCATCTGCCGAGTCGAGTATCATGTTGTATCAATTTTACAATCTTTCCATATTTTGTCGGATCACTTC